CTATTTGGCCTCTTTGAAACACAGGATGAAGAAGTGGAAGGCAATGTCTAGGTCATCAGCCCTCATCCATGCTACTTCTCACTGTCACATTAAAATGTGATAAAACTCCATCTTAATACTAGCTATTTTTTTTTACCCTGTGACTCCAGCTGGATGGCTATTTCAGGACAACATACTGGACTTAATTTTTTCATGGCTAGTTCTTGTTCTACCACTACTGCTTTGTTTACGTATCGCTGTCCTCTTCTGGTCTCAGGTTATATCTTTGGGGATCAACCATTTACACTCTGAGCCTTCACACTGCTAGTCTAAAAAGTCCTCTCTTCACTTCTTGCTCTGCATTCCCTCTTTTACATTCTCATGATTATCCAAGAAGACTTTCTCTCAACCTTCTCCGTTTTCTCAATAATCCTGTTGAACTGTGCACGCAGCACCAATGAAGCCTCTGTACTCTTTAAATAATACCCCATCTATATATTGAATACAATCTATATACTTGACAATACTGTTCTCCCAACTGCATACGTGGAAACAAACACTAAGAAGTTCCTCGGCACTATAAAAGTCACTAGTAATACACTAGCAAGACTTCAAAGGCTTTTTCAGTCATTGCTTCCTCAGATGTTTACCTCCATTCTGAGCACGATATGCAGTGTGACCGCATTTGCTTTCCCAAACAATAAAAAATAACCCAACATTCATGACCTGTAATTTTTATTTACTAATCCATTAGTCTAGAAGTCAGTATTTTTTCAGTATGAGCTCAAGTCCAGCAATGCCAGTGTTGACAGTTGGCACGCAGTGTAAAACCAGGAACTGATTCCCCTAAAACCCCTATCAGTAATGATCCGTCATGGGCAGTGAGTAATTGTGGGGTCAAAAAACACAATCTTAAAAACATGATCGCAGCTTGATCATGATGTGATGCAATGGTGCACAGTAGCAAGAGCTGTGTGTGTAAATCCAGGAGTTGTCTTCTAGTTCTTTGCCGTTATTGTCTGAGATGCAATAATTACTCAATTTTTAATCTACTTAATCCATGCATTTAATTTTTAATCTACTTAACTGTTGTAATAGTGCATGTGTATAATTTTAATTTCTTAACCGAAATATCAAGTAGCAGAGAAGATCTTATTAAAATCCGAGTATCATGAGGCCTGTAATGTTGATCTTATAAGAGTGTCATGTTAGTTTGCCGTGTCAAGTAACTGAATTCAATTACACAACTTAATCTATTAACAGTTTTTCACAATTTTTCTTTCATGACTGAGTATCCTCTGGACCGTTCCATTATTCCGCCTCAGGCTGAGAGTGGACTGAAACTCCACAGGTCTGAAATCCCTCAGGTCATTCGTCCTTTTTTTTTTTTTACCTGTTTAGCATACCAGTTTTCTTCAAATCACATCTCTGGAATTTTGTTACTAATCAATAACTTAAAAAAAAATACCAATTCTCTTTATAGCTTTTTATAGCTCTCAGTTATGAGTTACCGAAGTCCAATGATTTCAAAATATGTAGTTCCAGCAGCTGTTCTACAGCAAATCTAGAATTATGGTCTGAACAGAGTATCATCATGAATACTTTTTTTCTGGTGTGAGCATCAGCTGGTTTTAGGAAAGAGAGAAAAAGAAAAGTGTAAACATTTCACTTCAGCTGCATCATTGCTTTTTGCTCCATTTTGTGTAGTAATGGACCAAAACCATTGCATCTTTTTAATTCTTCCATTTGTGACGTATTCCTTCTTAATTCATGTCTTAGGTCTACAGGCCATAAATGCACATGTTGGCGTTGCCATTTTCCTTATGAAATCTGTGTGACTTCTAGCTATTAATTTCAAGTTACTAATATTCCCCTTTTTGGTTCTTTTGTATTCTTCCAGTTTCTTTCATTTTACAAAGTTGCCTGAAGGTTTTTAGTCTCTTTTCTATTACTTTTTTTTCAGCATAAAGCTACCCAATCTTCATTAAAGAAAACAGTGGCTGTTTTGTATCCTGTTACTGCTCACCCGGGAAAGAGATAAGAAGGGTGATAAGAGAATGGTGAGTAAAATTCTTAGCAATTAGATAAATAACATATTTTGTTTTAAATTAAAAAAAAAATGAAATGTTTTTACTGTAATGATTTTTTTTAGCTTAAATATTCTGATAGTTAAAAACTCTGAGATTTGGGCTTGCTTCTCTTGAATACAGTGTGCGTGTTTGTGTGCATGTCCTAAGGCAGGTGTGCGGGTACATGTGTGGGACTTAAAAATACACTGTTGACAGTCATTATGCAGACTTTCTCATATCTCACAAACCATCCACTAGTGGCCCATGAATCACAGGTTGAGCAACAGTGCCAGAAGATGACTTGATGGCCCATTGTGATGGACAACTACTGCTCCAATGTAGGTTTTACACATTAGGATGTCAGTCTATGAATATTTGCAATTTTTTTTTTTTTTTTCTGGAGCTGAACAGCAATTTGGAAATATTTTGTGCTGGTTTTGCTTCCTAATTGCATGTCCTTTGTCCATTGAGTATAACAATTGTGCTCAGCATTCAGCAGCAGTCCTACCAGCAATACTGGCTAGGCTGAGATCCCATTCACAAACAAGTCATTCCAGTTCCTCTTGTTCAGCGCTAAGCTTCTTAAATACCCAGTGAAAGAATTTTCCCCCATCAAATTGTATGCTGCCTCAACTCTTTTACAAAGACATAATTTCTTAACCTCTTTGCAATCTTTTTGTCATTCGTTTAACTTAGACCAATATAGAGAACCTACCCACTAAAAAATTGTCTCCTGCCCAAACCACACCTCTCTCAGTGACAGAATGAATCAACATTCCACAAAAAAAAATAAATAATAAGATTTTTACATCTTCCCTTGCTTACTTAACCACATGTTCATTTCTATTTTCTGCCTTCAAAGGAAGAACCTCTGATAGTAAACTACTGATCACTTTTATTTGGCAACAACCTTCCACATTTTCTAAAATGGTTCCTCATTAGCTGCCTTTCAGATTTTGGGTCTGGAGAGAAATTACACTATCCTTCCTGCTGTAGTGTTCCCAACATGGTCTATACATCTCCTGAGCATGAGAACTCTCCATTAAATACAAACAGATCCCACTGAGCTCTCCAGTTTATTTGATGAGCCCCATCTGTGATTTTCCTGCACTGTCATCAGGTTCTCATCATGATGATGGGAACTTCTTGACTGATATTCCGGTTGAACAGAGGTGCTCCTTTTGAATCATAGAATCATAGAATTGTCTAGGTTGGAAAAGACCCTCGGGATCATCGAGTCCAACCATCTACCCTACTCTACAAAGTTCTCCCTTACACCATATTCCCCAACACCACATCTAAAAGTCTCTTAAACACATCCAGGGATGGTGACTCAACCACCTCCCTGGGCAGCCTGTTCCAATGCCCGACATCTGGCTGACAGCTAGGTTCTCTCTGTTCTTGTCTGTCACCTGCTGCTTAGAACAACCTCCGATCCTATTCCGTCTTACTCACTGACATCCTCTCTGCTTTCCACTCTCCTAGAGTAGCTAGTTTTCTTCTCTGTTAACTCCATCAATGGAGGTATTAGACTTGGGAATGGAATTATATTTCCAAGGAAATTTCATGATTCCTCTTCAGCTCTTTGCTTTGCAGCTGCAGCTCACTGCTTAGATGTTCAGCCTTGCTCCTCTGCCCTACCACACAAACAACGAGCTGTTTCCACACAAGGACTTCAGAGCTGATTAGAGAGTGCTAGAGACACATTCTCTGCACTCTGACCTGTCCCGTTTGGCTGGGTTAGGAAACCACCTCATTACAGCCAGGTAATCCAACTTCCACAAAAAAAAAAAAACAAAAACAAAAACCCAAATACATAGATCACATATGCCTCTCCTGTCTGACATTTGACACACAAGCTTCAAGGACAAATTCTGTGAAATTCCCAGTTTTTTCTTTGTTTCTGAGAGCATTTGGTAGTGTCAATGACCTTTGGAGCACTGGTTTTCTAGCTTTCTCACATTGCCAAATCTCTAAAAAATATCCCTTGGAGACCATTTCCCACATAGCAAGATGATACCTACTAAATTTACCTTTTTTTTTTTCATTACCTCTAATGAACTATCTCATGCCAGGGCTGACAGTTCAAAATTTTTGCTTTACCAGAAAAGCCGTATGTTGAAAATGGGAGGTGGGTGCCATAGGAAACACCTAGAAGAAGAGGAAATTGAGAACAGTGAATGAGGCAAACAGGAAAGGAGGAGAATGATGAAATGTATGCAAACCCTGCCATGGGAAAGCCAAGTAAGGGAAGTGCAGAGGAAAGGAATCTTAATAAAGTCAGGGATACAAAGGTACATGAATGCAAAGAGCCCTGGCTAAAGGCAGCACAAACAGCCCAAAGATAGTATCATAGGTTGGATAGTCATTTACTATCATAATCAGATAGTATCATTTAGGTTGGAAAATACCTTTAAGATCATCAAGTCCAAATGTTACCCTAGCACTGCCAAGGCCATTGCTGAACCATGTCCCTAAGCTCCACATCTACACGTCTTTTAAATACCTCCAGGGATAGTGACTCAACCACTGCCCTGGGCAGCCTGTTCCAACACTTGACAACCCTTCAGGTGAAGAAATTTTTCCTGATATCCAATCTAAACCTCCCCAGCACAACTTGAGGCTGTTTCCTTTTGTCCTAATGTTTGTTGCTTGGGAGAAGAGACAGACCCCCACCTTGCTACAACCTCCTTTCAGGTAGTTGTAGGGAGCGATAAGGTCTCCCCTCAGCCTCCTTTTCTCCAGGCTAAACAATCCCAGTTCCCTCAGCCGCTCCTCACAGCTCTTGTTCTCTAGATGCTTCACCAGCTTCATTGCCCTTCTCTGGACACGCTCCAGCACCTCAATGCCTTTCTCATAGTAAGGGGCCCAAGCTGCCAAGCATGAAGACTTTACCAAGTTACAGCTATCACTGTCTTTGTTCTACCACACCTCCTACCTATCTCCTCACAGACGGCAAAAATCAGGACCTCGTGATCCGATTTACTCCCTCAGGACCCCGTATGCAGTATTGGCTGTGCAAGGAATGCATCGGACAGCAAAACTGAGTGGAGGGGAAGGATCACCTCCCTCATCCTGCTGGCAACGCCCTTCCTTATGCAGCCCAGGACGCTACTGGCTGCCTTTGCTGCAAGGGCATGTTGCTGGCTTACGGTCAATTGGTGTCCACCAGGACCCTCACGTGTCTTTCTGCAAAGCTTCTTTCCAGCTGATGGGTGCCCAGTGCGTACTGACGGGTGTATGAGCTTATTCCTCTTCAGGTGCAGCTCTTTGCATTTCTCTTTGTATTAAACTCTTTTAGAAAGGACAAATCACTCTAAATGAAACGCTTAACCTGTATATTCAATTTGCTTTAGGTGTTTGGAATGTGGATTATTGCACTTTATCTCCTTGGCACAGTAGCAGGTGAGACACAATATCTATAAAAACTACCACAAGACAGTGAATTCAGACAAAATACTATATAGGAGATGATGACTGGTATTTTCCTTTGCACTGAAGTTGTAGTATAATTTGTGTGTCATTATATGACAATGTCTATTACTGTGCACAGAACTAATGCGAAAAGGCTCTGCTCTGTTCAAATTTTATTATTAAGAATACAAGAGACATATCTCTGTGCTGAAAATTCACAGAGAAATTTGGAGTCACGTGTCCTACTTCTATCAAGACAACACACGAGCCGTCTTTACATGACTGCTGTATACAAAGCACTGCTCAGCAACAGCGTGCTTAGCACAACAAATAGTGCTAAAACATTTAAAAGTTGGGCACAAGTGAGCAAAAGACCCATTTGATCTGAAAAAGCAACTATATTGAAAGAAATAAGCATTTCATTCACAGTACCAGGTTACTGCATAGATATCCTTCATTCCTACGAGCAGAGACACAATGCTTTGGAGTAGGAAGCATGCAGGACCAATCCTAATAAGCACTTCTTACAAGACTATTTTTTTTAAAAAAGAAATTGAATTAATCCTTTACAAGACTAGAAAATGGTGTCAAAACAGCGTCTGGGTCTTTACTTGGTTTATCCTCAAATTGCTTAGCTCCCTTTGTGTTACCTGCCTCAGGCAACATCCACAAAGGAAACAAGAATGAATCTCAGTTTCAAAATAAATCATAAAATGAGTTTTCTGCTCCTCAGACCACTGTAGTCTCAAATACATCATCAAGCCATAAGAGAGTCCGACACATAAACAAATTGTTTCTTCTGCTCTAGGTAAAGAAGTTTGCTACCCCAGGCTTGGCTGTTTTACAGATGACCCACCCTGGTCTGGGGTACCGGGGAGACTTCTGACAGGTTTGCCTGACTCTCCAGAACATATGAACCTGAGCTTCTCTCTCTACACCAGAGAAACAGGAAATAACTCACAGGTGACATTTATTTTTAACATCAAGAACTGACTAAACCTACACGTTTGTTAACTTGTTAAAAAGTCTGCGTCAGTCATCATAGGCAAACAAGTCAGAATAAGAAGATAGTTTGAAGGTACAGTAATGAATGTACTTCGGGGTGAAGCATCCAAAAAAACCAGTTGAGAATGAACCATAGGACACAACAGCTTTCCTGCATTTTCCTGCACAAGGATACGGGTTACGGCAGACTACCTTTTGCATGCATTAATGTCTCTGAGAAAAGTTGAAGACTTGTTCAAACAAACAGCCTTCTGAGTATTCAGATATGAGGGCAAATACTGCTGTTTCACAGGGAAGGTAGCTAGGAAAATATTGTGACTTTTAAAAATAAAAGACTGATTTTACGCAGTTTCCAAACCCACATTCCACCTTGCAGTCTGAGGAATTTTACATTCTTACCTGTCTCTCTGTCTCTGAAAACAAGACAGAACTACCCAAGTTGCTTCTGCTCTGAAATACTGAGCAGAGCAATGTGGGGGAACCCGTAAGATCAGGAGCTGGGACACATCACTTCAGCAAATGCTTATGAAACTGCTAAATCCCTCTCAGGCTCCCAAATCTAGTGTCCCCTGAGCCCTACAGGGATGTTTAGGATTCCTCTGGCATGAACTACGATGCCGTCACTGCTGTTGTAGACATCATTGCTTACAGCAATCCTGGTTGCAGCCCTGAGAATCCAACTCAGGTTCTCTATGGATGAGAAGTTCTACATGTAATAAACTTTTATGATCTGCAGAGCAAGGACATGTAAGCACACAAGATAAATTCTGCAGCAGGTTACTCAGCAGTTCTATTGTTGATAAAATAAGTCAAAATACACCTTGCACTACTTCCCAGCCACTAAACTTAAATATATGTATGATCTACAGTGCAGTCCTTCCACCCCAACTCCCTGACCTCACATCACAGACCCTGTATTTGTCTGAAAACAATACAGACAGTCAGATACCACTCTCAGAGGAAAAGAAAAATATCTAGCTAAGCAACTTACAGCAACGCATGAAGATCAGCTTCACCCCTACTGCACACTGCTCTTGCATGAAATTCTTTTAGCCTTTCCAGAGTAGATAATGACAAAAACAGGCACAGAAACATCACCTTTTCCCGGGGAGGGGGGGGAACCCAACCCCAAACCAAAAACCTGTTGCTTAGATGCAGAGCAGCACATTGAAGCCAAAGGTCAGGTCAGTGAAAGGGTAAGCTGAACCAGGAGATGTGGAGGTGGTGGGCTGCTCTCTGGAGGAACTTGCCCAATGCAGGCCAACAGGCACCATGTGACGCTGTGGCCCTTTTAAGTTGTTTTATATTCCACATGGGGTTCTTCCTGTATTCAGCAAAATAGATAGGAGCAATAGAAACCACATGGGCACAACTTCTCTGGAAACCATAGTGGAACTGAGAAAGGTGAGGTACAGGGGTCCCTGAGTTCCAAAGTCACAGACTTTGTCCATTAAAAATAGTCCCTTGAGTCCTACAGATGGGATGACCTAGCTGACTTTTTAAAAATGTTTGAAAGTATGAATACATAAAACTTTTTCTTTTTTTTCTCCACACACAGGTGATATCAGCGATAAACTCCTCAACCATCCCAAACTCACATTTCTCCATACATAGGAACACCACCTTCATCATTCATGGATTTGGCAGCACTGGAAAAAAAGGCTGGGTGGTAGAAATGTGCTTGGTATGAGAGAGTATCCTCTGACTTCCGTCAGCAGTTGTAACTACAATCTGTCAGTATCCTTTAGGTGCTCATGTTCACCTTCCATTTTGCAATTCATTACGTAGTAGCAGATACCAAACACCCAAAAAGTAGATTTCACAAAAGTCAAAATGTTCCCACTCTGGAAGATGCAGCATAGTCAAGGTTTCTTGGTCATCTCTGGCATTATGTTTCTCTAGAGATTTTCCATTCCCAAACCCTACAAATCAGATCAAAGCAATAAACTGAACACAGGTGTCGCCAGCCTCGACATGAGTGTCAGAATATCAAATTAGACACACCAATTCACTGCTTCTCCCATTAGGAGCAGTTGAACCATCCTTCGGTCAGAAGGCCTTCCTGAGTTGCAAAGTTCAAGTTTCAGTCAACAAATACCATTCTGCTTCACCACTATTCAGATTTCAAGCAAAACCCAAACCACCAGCAGAAAAGAACATTTTTTTTTTTAATTAGAGTGCAATGAAAAAAAGATTTAAAATACGAAATGTGGAAGCTACCACAGAACCAGCAGAGTGTGCTGTGTCAATGACAGCCTTGGCTCTGATAGATAAGCAAAATCTACTAGAGTTTCTGCTTCTTCCACACTGGCAGGGAAAAGGACAAGCTAGAAAAAAGACCACCGCTGAATACTAGGTCACAGATCTGCAGCATTATTTTTTTCAACTATGAAAACTTTTAATCTAGAATATTAAAAATCCAATTTTTTCAGCTGAAAAGAAACAGCAATTCTATCTGCCTCTCCACATTACAAACTATGTTTATGGTGCCTACAGGAGAGGAGGGAATCCAGGATTCAAGGCACTATCACTTCAATCTTCTGTTTTCCTTGTCATTCACTTTCAGCTATTTACCAGATTGATTTTTGTTTCCACTCCTTGTTCTTTCTCAAACTTTAAGCCTTAGTCACAGAAAGCTATAGCTGCAGACTTTGATACATGACTGTTCCAGTGGAAGAATCACTGATCTCTGCAAGACAGTGACCAGTACCAAAGTGACCAATGCATTAGCTTTCTTTGCTGAAATAGAAGCTTTCTACTCTGCTCCAAACCTTTCCAGTCTGACATGTCTTTCTCGGTTTTAAAGACACCGGGTAAATAAGGTTACTTCCTATACTATTCAGTTAAACTACCAACATCCCTCAAAGAATGTCACATACTGCACATAGCAGCTACTGTGCAGTTGTGTGGCTTTTCCAAATTATTTCAAATATGCATACAAATGGCTTATAAAGTAAAATATTTTTAGTAGTCTTTCATAATTGATACTTTCAGGATTAATGGCTTGTTATATTCTGTTTTGTAAGAAAATGCATGTTTCAGTGTGGTACAGGCTACAGTGAAGAGTCCCATTTAGTAAAGAATAAGAAATTCCATGATGATATTACCTTTTAATGTTTATTCTGACTTAAATTGAATCTCTGTTTGTCATTTTGCTTCCTTAAATACTTTGTTTTATGTATTCCCACATCAGCTGTTACTGGAAGTAGAAAACGTCAACTGCATTGCTGTCGATTGGGAAGACGGTGCAAAAGGCACCTACATCAGTGCAGTGAACAACATCCGCGTGATTGGGGCTGAGATTGCTTATTTCCTAGAAACTTTACAGGTAAAAGACACGGCTTTACCACCTACAATTCTGAAGTGGATGTAGTGGGGTTAGGATGATGCTGCTTTGGTTTTCGACCTTGTCCAGTATGGTCAGCCAGTGCTTCAGGAAGAGCTGTACAATGTTGAGATCCAGCTAATTATACTAATTATCAACTCCATAAGGACTTCTTACAGCCACAAAAGACGCAAATTAAGCTAATGTGGTTAAAAAGAGGTGCCAATTAATTAAAGACCAGTAGGTGGCAACATTTCCATATGATGATGCAGGCACGAAGGCATTCAATGGAAATGAGGTGAGGCCTCAGGTCAGCGATTGCAGTTTTGCCAGCATTGGCATTGTATAGGTGTGCTAGAAGTAAATTAACATCTCAGCTTCTCGCCACTGAAATGAGCAGGAGCTGGCTCACTTGGTAATGCCACATTTGCTGTCTACAGACACGACCAACTGCCCAGTTGCCTTCTAGTTGTGAAGTTCATGTTCTTAAAGGCAAGTGTTCACATTTCCATGCACAGCACAGAACCGCTCGCTTGCAAAGATTGAGTATCAGCATTTCGCGCTGACTTCAGAAAGACTCCTGAGTACTTAGAAGTGCTGCAAATCAGAACCATGCCTGGCCACGGACTTAATCCTGACCAGGAGGCATTCTTCTTAAAGTGCTGCAAGGGGTAGTTCAGAGCCCACAGGGCAAAGTGACAACTTCACAAGCGCCTGAGTACAAAACACGCCCCAGAATCTGCTGGGGTACGATCTGCTGTTTCTACCTGGGAAACTCATCTCTAGCCTCACACGTTTGCCTCTGTACCTTCCTTCTTTGTGTACAAATCCCAGACCACTTGAAGATGGGGCCAGTTTCTCATGTAATATCTCTTATGACTGCACCATTTGCAGTCTAGGGCTATCTTTTTTCCATTACGAAAAAAAAAAAAAGCATAAATGATCCTTAGACTTTCTATTCTCTTGCTCAGTTTACAAACTTCTAGAGTCTGACTTTAGGAAAAGTTAATTTGCATTGTAAATGGAAGTACTGCACTAAAATGTATTCAGAGGAACCTGATGTCTAACAATAAAGACAGACAGGCCAATACTACAGATATTTTTATTTTGGTACAGGCATGATAAAACAAAACTTAGTGTAAAAACCTCAACAATTAGCAACCAATCCGTGTTGTCTTTGTTCACTACAAAACTCAGCAAATCCCTGGATGAAATGTGACCCCTGCATACAGCATACACGCTGATTAATCTCCATTTCCACCTTCAAAGCATGTGTAATATCTCAGCAGTGCGGGTCTTGTACAGCTGACACTTGGCAAAGGGCAGAATGAATGTCACCCCACCTAAGCTTGTCAGTGAAAATGTTATTGAGTGATCTGATCACATAGTCTAAGAAGACATATGGAGAATAAATGTGTGATAAAACAGCTCCATAATAGATTAAATAAATAAAATATAAGATAATTTTGATGGAAGATGAAATTAGGGGTTGATCCAAATGAGAAAGAAGGTTCATATTTATCACCAAGGGTAACTGGATATGGTAACCATATGCCAACCCTACAACAGTGAATCCATCATCACTAGGCATTTAGAATTCTAGATTGGATCACTTTCTATCAAGCCTTAGTGTAATTTAAACAATAATTAACTCAAGGAACTCACGCCTTGTTTGCTATGCAGGAAGTCAGTCTAGATGTTCCCCAAGGCCCGTAATGTAAGACATCCTCTTTGCTTGCTACTTAAAGCCTGTGTTCTTGTCTCCCACCACCACCACCTTAATGATCAGAAATTCTTCAGATACTCCCTTTGCAAAATTCATTTAATTGGCCACAGTCTGGGAGCACATACTGCAGGAGAGGCGGGAAGAAGGATCCAAGGCATCAGGCGGATAACAGGTAGGCTGTTCACCGAGGTGCATAGCACCAAAAGCTAACGTAGCATATTTCTAAAGGAAAGAAACTTGCAACTCACTGGTGTGTAGACTGGAACTAAATTATGGGCAGTGCTGGAGACACCTTGTGTGAGAGCAGGCCAACTTTGTGCTTCTCAGAAACAAGGGTAATTATTTCTTCTTCTTTCCCAAAAATCTGTAGTGGAAAACTTTAGTGGAAGGACAAACATAGTTAATATGTTTGTAATGTTATTGTCATTCACTGGATTAGATCAAGCCCTACGTAAAGGCAAAACAGCATATCAGGAATCCTTAGTTTTTTCTATTCGTAAAGCTTTGCAGGCTGGTAATAAGCTCACAGGTAATTAAATGCTTCCTTCATAGTAATACAATGCCATTATACAGTTTATTAGAAAATATTTTACTTCTGTTGGAATAAGCTTGCAGAAAGGTTCACAAAACTGTACTATTGCATGGTTTTTTTCAGTTGAGCTTAGAATTCACATCATTATTATTCAACATGCTTGTGCAATACTGAATGTCTGAAATTGCAAGCTGGCAAAAGACATACCAACGTGTGCAACACTTCCCTACCTCCCTCAACCAACAAACATGGGGTTTTGGGGTTTTTTTTTTAGGCTTAGACCCTGCTGCACCCTATTTTGAAGGTACTCCTCCTGAAGTGAGACTGGATCCTTCAGATGCAAACTTTGTTGACATTATTCACAGTAATGCTGCTCACTTCCCCGCCATAGGTAAGTGTTCGTGTGCAAATAAATATCTGCAGGGGCAGGCATGTCACCAAGGCACTGACATCCTCACACGTGTATCTCAGGGCTTGGAATGTATAACACCACCGGTCATCTTGACTTTTACCCAAACGGAGGAACTGTGATGCCTGGATGCACCGATTTAAATCCAGAGATGAAACAAAGTGATTTTGAAGTTATCATTGCAGGTAAACGTACATTCCCACCATGCATAGTACTTTACTTTTGTTCAATCCTGAAACATGAACTGTGACATTTTCTCCCAAATGTAACTGTCCATTTGGGAGAAAACAGCAAGAAAAAAAAAAAATATTTTTTTGCCTATCACTCATAAGTAAGAAAAGGAAATAAGAAACAATAAAGGCTGGATCAGAACAAAATTGGACCTGCAGAACACAAAAAGACAGGAAAATGGGGAGTCCGCAAGTCCAACACCCCGAGAACCTCAGCAGGAGATTTTGTAGGCTGAGACAGGCCAGCATCATGACCAAGCCTGCGGCATGATACCACCGCCTTTGGTTTCTGGCAGATGCTGCAAAGAGCATCCAACTTAAAAGTCATGAATTAGGCAAAAGCACTCAGTGTTTCCAGGGACTGTGCATGCCTCATCTCTCCACCTGAGACTTCTCTCTCTTCACAGGCTTTGGAGAGGTTGGCAGAAGGCTGGTGGATTCTCTTTGCTCTGTTAAGTCTTTTAAAACTGTAATTAATGTCATCTTGCTGCGACATATCATATATACACATACATGGCTGTGCTCATAAGAGGGACTGTTATGCCATAGCAGACCAATGCATCTCACTTGCAGCCTTGGGGTAACCGGCACACAGTTCTCTGGATAAAACACAGACAAAACAGTAACTTCTACTGCAACTAGAAATGTGTAAATTCAGATGAAACATTATTACATGACCACACTGCTGTTCTGTTCCGTGCCTCGGCTGTTTCCATGGCAAGGCAAGCACAATTCTTCTACAGGAGAACAGGAGGTTATTTCATGGATGTTCATAAACTTTGTTCCAACAGACGCTACAGTCATTGGGGGGTGCCATCACTCACGCAGCCACGAGTATTATTTTGAAAGTATCCTCTATCCCACCGGATACCTTGGATATCCCTGTGAAACGTACAAGTCCATGCAGGCAGTAAGTATATCAGCCCAGGAATGAGTGAGCTGTAAAGAAAATAATCCAGGTCTCTGCGCTCACAACAGGTCGCGCTATGTGCGCAGAGCATTCGGATGCTGGTGGCTGTGCTATCGTGGTGTGGTTTGGTAGGAGGAAGGGCAGAAGATGGATCCTGAAGCACAAATGATATCACCAAATACAAAAAAAAAGAAAAACTAAACCCTGTACAATTCTCATCCTAAACATGTATGCAAAAAGCACTTAGGCTAGATGTATCTACTCTACTAATTCCTCGCTGGAAGAGGAGACATTTGGAGCCTCCAAAATCATTGACTCTTCTCCAGTTTACACTGGACACTGATTAGAGCACCTAAATAAATGCACTTATGAACGATACTCCTTTTTTCCCCCTCCATATTTTGCTGCAAAGTGGATGCAGGAAAGTTACCATCCCAGTGGAAGTGTAAAATTGGCTTATATTTTGACCTAGACTCTACCTGAAAAATATTTGAACTAGGGAGTTTCAGACCATCATCCACACAGGTGTGAAACCTGCTCATTCCACACCCTCTCAGTATGCATGGGTGCAGGAGATGCGATCAGGTTTCGGTGGTAAACTAAGACAACATACAGTGCTGCCACAGCTTTACAAGATGAGAACAGCATCTTGAGCCTTAATTTTGTCAGAGCTAGGATGAAAAAAAATACTCCTCATTAACTGGTGCTCTTATTTTCCCTAGGGACACTGTTTCCCTTGTCCCCAGGAGGGATGTCCGATGATGGGGCACTATGCTGACAGATTCTCAGCTAAATGCGAGAGGGTAAACCAAAAGTATTTTTTAAATACAGCAGCAGATCCACCTTTTGCGAGTAAGTAGCAGAGGTTTGTTACAGTTGTTCACATGTTTGAAAAGTGATTGCCTTGATGTGATTTACAGCCATGCACTTCTGTTGCTTCTATGAGCCACTGCTAACATCTCTAACCAAAAAAAGCTACATTAGTTATCAAAATTCAAGCTCACTGCATCTTTCATTTGCTAACATGAATGAATTCCAGTTGGGGGCGGGGGGGGGAATAACTTTCCAGTATACTAGCATTTTCAGATCTCTCGTACCAATGACAATATAATTTTATTTTGCTTTTCTTTATGCAGCTTGGAGACAAAAAGTATTTATCAAGCTGTCTGGTATGAAGAAAATGAGGGGGGATATAAACCTAGTTTTCCATGACACAGAGGGAAACACAAAAGAATATGAAATCGCCAGGTAAGATTAAATTAATGTTTCCCTAGAGCATTTAATGCTGCTAACCTTAATCTACACATTTTCCCCATATTTAAGCAATGCAAACTTTTATTCTACATTACAGACATTCTACTTGACATCAGGTATGAAAAAAAAGTGATCCCATAGATAAGACCTATGAGGGCAGGTGAATGGTTGCAAAAAGGAAATGGAAGTCACTTCCTCTCCGTGAACTATGTGACTTTACAGTAAATTAGGAATATAGTTTGAAAGGAGAAGTGCTGTGTTTCTCCAAGTTGCTCTTAAAAAAATAAATTGACACCTTTGGAACACATGTAATGCATAGGGTTCTCACCTGTTACACACAGGTTTTGGCACTACTAGCATAGCATCACACGTGTCAGCATACTCGGCTCCACGTGCTGACAAGGCTCTGCTCTGCCCATGACTTGCTGTGTGATCTCATGCAAGGCGATCCTATGCCTGAACTTACTAAATTTGCATAATGGATCTCTCCTTCCTCCTTAGGGTATATTAAAAGCCATCACACTACTACTAGAAATGGCACATTTATATAGTCTGGCCAGTGAGCTTCATTCACAGCTCATATCATCATCCACTAACTATCAAAATAGCAGCTCCCACTGTCTCCTGTACTTGCTCTGAAACATACAATCATAGAATGGTTTGGGTTGGAAGGGACCTTTAAAGGCCATCTAGTCCAACCCCCCTGCAATGAGCAGGGACATCCTCAAATCAATCGGATTGCTCAGAGCCCCGTCCAACCTGACCTGGAATGTTTCCAGGGATGAGGCATTGACCACCTCTCTGGGCAACCTGGGCCAGGGTTTCACCACCCTCAGTGTAAAAAATTTCTTCTTGATATCTGGTCTGAATCTACCCTCTTTTAGTTTAAAGCCACTACGCTGCTAAAAAGTCTGTCCCCATCTTTCTTATAAGCCCCCTTGAAGTACTGAAATGCCACAATAAGGTCTCCCTGGAGCCTTCTCTTCTCCAGGCTGAACAACCCCAACTCTCAGCTTGTCTTGATCAGAGGGCTGGAGTACCTCTGCTATGATTTTTGTGGCCCTCCTCTGGACCCGTTCCAACAGGTCCATGTCTTCCCTGTGCTGAGGGCCTCAGAGCTGGATGCAGTACTCCAGGTGGGGTCTCACCAGAGTGCAGTAGAGGGGCAGAATCACCTCCCTTGACCTGCTGGTCACAGTTCTTTTGATGCAGCCCAGGATGCGGTTGGCCTTCTCGGTTGTGAACACAGATTGTCAGCTCACGTTCAGGTTTTCATCCACCAGTACCCCGAAGTCCTTCTCGGCAGAGCTGCTTTCAATCCCTTCATCCCCCAGCCTGTATTGGTACCGGGGGTTGCCCTGACCCCAGTGCAGGACCCTGCACTTGGCCTTTTTGAACCTCATGAGGTTCACATTGGCCCAGTTCTCAAGCCTGGCCAGGTCCTTCTGGATGGCATCCCATCCCTCAGGTGTGTCAACTGCACCACTCAGTTTGGTGTCATCCGCAAACCTGCTGAGGGAAACGTGCCCTTCCACATGCTCTCCCACCATCCTCTGTGCACATGCAGACCAAAGCCCCACAGGAGTTCCCAGCTCATCTATAAAATCCTCCCTGATAACCTCATCTGGAGCTCTCCCTGCAGTGATACCTGCAAATATCAGCACATGTGGGCGCTGGAGGCAGTCCCAGCCTCACCCTTATCTCCCGGTAGTCTCCTGCCACGTGTGCATTTAAATTTTGCAGTGTTGTTTGTTGTCATCCTCTCCCCGTTCAGCGCATAACACCCCAGGGTGCTCGTCCAGTGTCTGGTGCTGTTGCAAAGAACAGCGAAAGAGAAAATTTCTGTCATAACAAAGAGGAAAACACAAATCTTGTGGAGAATGTGATTTAGTTCAATAACCTCTAAACTGCATTGCTGTCTTCATTCTATTTGCAGTGGAGTCCTCTCTCAAGACCAAGTTTATACAAAATACCTCGATGTGGAAATTAATCCAAAAAAAACTAAAAAAATTGAATTTCTCTGGAATAAAGCCATATTCACTTTGCTCTGGGCAAGACTGGGAGCAGAAACAGTCAATATAATTCACGGAGAAGATGGACGTAGGTATGTATATCCCTTCTACAGGTCAGAAGGAAGGGGAAAGGAGTGCAAAAACTGTGGGAGACAGAACTGAAAAAATGTTCTTGATAAATTGGACACATTTCACAGTCAACAAAGTGAATTTCAGTAGGGACAACGACAAGATATTACACTCTGGTCAGAAAATCAAATGTTTGAGTACAAATCGGGGAATAACTGTCTGGAAAGAAATACAGCTGTAAGTAATTTGGAACGTATGCTGTTTTGCCACAGCAAAACAATTATAAACCAAGATAAAGCAAGTCTCATTCTCAGGTGCACTATCAAGATCATTGTATAGAAGATCCAGGGAGTAATTATTCTAATTTGAATAACTGGGGTGAGACTGTAATGAGAAGCAGGGTCATTTTCAAGTTTGGAGAGTTTACTTCAGGAGCTACGCACAAAGCCTGAAGTCCAGAAAAACAGTAAAAGAGGTTTAGAAAACACAATCCGTGTAGAGCAGCTGAAGGAAATGTGTTTCTCAATGAAGAAAAGCCTGGAGAGAAGCATATACGTAGGCTGTCTGTGAAGGGTCACAGTCAACTATTCCACATATCCACTGGGTTTAGGTCAAGGCTTAATTGATGTATTTTGCAACAGAGGAAATATTGGTTAGATATTAAGAAAAAAACTTCCTTACGGTTTGGCATTGCCGTGGATTACTTAGAGAAGCTGATGAAACCGCTTTCAGTGTGAGCCCCCCCCCCAAAAAAGCTGCAAAGCTTTGATTGGGGCAATCTAGTTAAGCACCTAGCCTAAATAAAGGGAGCCTAACAAGATGCCTTTCTGGCATTTTATCTAGAGCTCTCTATTCATGAATCTAGAGATTAATTTTATTCATATGTTAAAACTTTACTTTTACACCTGGTCCCCAAAAGAAGGAAATTCACCTTGTTACTAGGAATACACAGACACTAATATTCTGTAGAGCAGGCTTTTAAGAATGCTTAAGTTGCATTATGGATCAAACTTACAACCCTCAAGGTGACAGCTGACAAGCTTTCATTGTTGTTTGGAGGGGGGGGAAAAATAAAAAATCTTGAATCAAGGTTTTTTTCCTCCCAGGTCAACTTTTTGCGGTCGTGGAACTGTGACATATGGAGTTCCCCAGTTACTTACACCTTGCTAGAGGTCACCAAGTACAACTGTTCTGTACACGGCAGCTGAGCAAACCATGAGTCCTGTGCCTGGGAATATGGGTACACAAGGCTATTAAAGCAAAACTCAAGCTACTCGTTGCTTCCTTTATGTTTTCAGTTCTTTGCAAACACGCTTGTCAATGTTTTTCACATTTGAACCAACTTCATTGTGCTCATAACTACAGAAACAGCTGGAAATCATATATGCTAAAATCCATTTATAACACTGCGCAGTCTTCCTCTCCTAGTACCTCAAGAAAAGCAGGTCAGAACTGTTCCCTACCACATTGATAATTTGCCAGACCTTCTGTCTATCAAACACTCTCAAGGCAGCACATTACCTCAGCACACGCCTGGTGCTGGGAATAGTCCCAAACACCTCCTTTCTGCAGCCTATGCTATTCCTCAAAACTTTCCAACCCCACCCCAGAGCACTGCCCTCAGAAGATGCTGTGGGATGAGGCAGAAACAGAACAAGACCAGGGTATTTTTTCAGCAGGTCAGCACCTTCAGGAACGCAACAGGCAAAGCCAGACCTCAAGCATTCCCCACTTCAGAAGAAACTAAACAGCTAAACCACAGCACCTGGCTACTGTTTCATTTCAAGCACATGCCCTTGCTGTGGCCACTGACAATCCTGGAGAGGAACTCTGACTTTGAATAACTCCAGGCTTTGCAAAACCTGGGATTGAGTATTTTGCATTAAAATGAACACTACTGCTCTGCAAAGCATGGCATGAGTGAGACACCTGGGGCTTTAAGAGACCAAGGCAGTGGATATTTTCCTAAATATAAAACCTAAATTCTAAGTTAATGAATAGGAAGAAAGAGTTGATAATTTATTCACTACCATTTCCCCATGTTTGATAAATTATGTACAAGCACTTGGACAGGTAATCTTCTAAGAAATGGGAGTAGAAGTACAATATTAAGAACATATAATGAGTATAAATATCTGAACGAAGTACTTTTTTAAAAAAGAACAACAGTCAGTGTTGTATCTTTGCCTAAACACTAGCCAAGCCTGTGTGAAATTAGAAGCATAATTAAACACAAGTCTGAGGTTCAGCCAAGTCTCCCAGGGACTTGACAGGTGGCAAGGGAAGCGTGAACAATGCTGGGAAGGACTGCACCATGTCCCAGGAGAGAGCCATGGCGTCCTGCAGCACAGGAAAACCAGTCCTCTCCTCTGCCTGCTTCCTATTCCAGACTTGCAACTTATTCAGGACTGCAGAAACATAGTGAGGCCCTTGTTTCTTGCTTTCTTCCAACGACCCCTGACTGTGAGGCCGCAAGGACCAGAATGGCTTCTCCAGGCACAGTGAGCATCCTGCATCATACTGAAGGACAGGCATCCCAGCCCCACACCTTCTTCTCAAAGGAGAAGCAAGCAGCCAAAACCCATCTGACGACAGTCTAAGGAATTGTGCAGCTACTCAGTTTGCCCTATGTTATTACTGTGTTGAATAAGAGCAGCAGATTAACTATGGTAAATTCCTAACAAGTCTTTTCCACCAGCTCTTAAATTAAATCAGAAATACTGTGTCATCCCCCCCCGCCCTCATTTTGAACAAGTGCTAAACGTTATCAGTGTTCTATGGCATGTGCTGGTTCTCCTGTATCACTGATATGAACATATTTACAAACTAAAATGCTACTTCAATTAAGGATGGGAGCACTGAGCTCTAAATTAGTATCAAAGGTGATATTTTAGAAAAATTAACAACTTCACTACTATTTAAAGAAATAAGCCCCGCTAGCATGGATGATAGCAGTGTAATACCTACACGCACAGCTGGTATCCATTTGGCCATTCCCAGAGGCAGAGATTAGGGAAAGTCAGCTCTGCAAAGATACGTGGCCACAGCCAAAAAGCACAGCCAAGTTGACCAAGCTTTCTAGGTGAAGAGTTAGCTGAGGTCTCATTTCTTCTTTAGTCCACTTACAGCCTTCTCCTAGGGGTGAGCAGGACCAAGGGGTTCCCATATCTAGTCCTGGTCATGTGCACAGGCTGTTTTTCACCTTTCAGTTGATGTCTCTAGTAGAGCAACCTACTGAGTTCTGTAACATCGCTACACAAAGCAGCCATGTTGCTGTTTCTGGGGTGAATTCTGTATGTTGCTGATATATATTTCCAACATGTTTGCTCTCAGTTCATCGCTCAGAGGAGAAGGGCTTTCTCAAAAAACCTGGGTAGTAGAGATAGAAAGGATCCAACGGGGTAGACAACTATCCTTCTACATCTGCTTATCTCAACAAGGAAACTAAAGGGACACCAGAAAAAGGTCAGATTCTTTCACCATAGAAAGACATACCAGGCCCACTAAGAAGTTCCCCAGATGGGATAAGACTTCAGCAAATTGACCCGATGTCAGGAAACGGGCACAAAAGACCCAGAAGCACAGAAGTATTCCACATCCAAAGTCACTTGATGCAGGGCAAAGGAGGGGACTCAAAAACAATGCAGTTCCCTACCTATTCCCCCAATAAACCCCCTACATCCCAACTACACAACACTAAAACCAAAAGCCTTCCCCACCAAGACAAGCCCCTAAATACACTGCCACACAGATCCACACAATTCTCTTTAATGTCCCGCTCCTGATGCGTTGCCGCCTGGGAATTACCCTACCTCTGGAGCACCAATCCTATTTTGGACTCCAGTGCACCAATTCAAGAAATCTATGTACATGGATTTGGAGGTTCACAGAGAAACCAACCATTAAAGTTGTTTTCCAGCTTAGCTATAAACTATAATCGGAAATAAACGCTCCTATCTTTCTGGGAACATTTCCAAGGATAAAGCAGACTATAAAAGTACATGCAAAGTTTGCACGTTAGCGCATGGAGCTTCAAGGCTGCATTGTAAGTAGTTCAGGCTTTGGGGCTTTTCTTTTACCTCGTCAGGTATATGGCTTCCCAAGACACAGTAGTATAGAGGGGAATGGCAGCTCACATCCAGTTAGAAGCATGGCCTCAACAGGTCAAAAATCACTCTGGATTTAAGCTATACTTTAATAGATTTAGAAGCCTCACAATCTCTAGTGGAGCACACGAACATAAAGCTGAGTCATATGGGTTTCACATTTGGAGTAGTCATAGATATGTGTTGCAGAGAAGACAGACGCAGCACCCTTTTCACCGTGAGAAAATTCAGCACCAGAAAGCTAAGTGCCCTTGCTAATACAGCAGGTTAGAAAATCTTAGCTGCTTCTTTTTCTACTGTTTTAGATGCTTGGAATTTGGATACTTGCACTATTTCTGCTGAGCGCAGCAGAAGGTAAGCACATGGGGTTAGTATTTATAGAGACTTTTTATGCTGCTATATTTTGTGAGATATTATTCTACACTATGGTGCCTTAAAACTTCCTGGTTGAGGTTACACGGTTCGCTTTCCTATGCAAGAATGGTGAGACGAGTGTGTGTGTGTGTTGTCTTTCCTCTTCTCCACTCTGGAATTCCCACCCTAGGAGTGTGCAAGAAGTGTTGGTGTTCTCTGTCTTGGAGAAAAGCCATAGCTCTACCAAACCTAGGAAGTTACTTGTTGTACTCTTCTTTAGTGATGGAAATGGGGAAAAAGCTGGGGGTGGGGGGAAAGGCAGTCTAATGAGGGTATAGCTTTATATTCCTCAGAAGCCATTGGCTTCTACAGTATAAGACTTCTCGTGTACGGCGTAGTCAGCTTTTCAGCACAGTCCCAAGTTATTGCTGATTATTTGCAATATCTTGGCTTGGTGTTAGGAGAAACTCATCAGCTCTCTTTTCCTTAGGTAAAACACAGCTGGGGAAAGATACCCAAGGTATGGTACAGGATACCCACAGAGCAACTCCACTTAATACTTTGTTGATGAGCAGTAGGGCAACTTCTTTCCTTAGGGTAAACTGCAGCCTTTGAAAATCTGAGAAAGGGCAACTGCTGGTCTTTGCTTTCTGTAAACCACAGGATTTTCGAGAGACCTCCAGAGAAAAGATGCTATGAGTTATGACTAGCCTGCTCCACTTCTTTTCTCATTCACATGTTATTGATCCGATCTGTGTGCTACAGGCAAAGAAGTTTGCTATGAGAGGCTTGGATGTTTCTCGGATGATATGCCATGGTCTGGGACAACAGAAAGACCAGTCCATAAGTTACCCTGGGATCCAAAAAAGATAGACATCCACTTCCTCCTGTACACAAGAGAAAATCCTACTGACTTTCAAGTAAGAACTATTGCAGTTTAAATGTTCAAATTGCATGCAAAAAAAAGTAAATAAACACAGACTCCAGCTGTGTTCCTGGGAAGTGTTATAAATGGCCAAATCTCTACTTTATTCAAGACACAGCCTCTTCCAGTTCCTTGGCAGGGTCTCTGGGGTATAATTCTCATCCTCATCCAGCCCTCACAAACCAGCATTCCCCTGTGTTTTCTGCATGGCCACTGAGAAGTACTGGGAAATTGTGAATTTTTAAAGTTATTGGGCTTTTTTTTTTTTTCCGCAGATAAGATGAAAACATGTTAAAAGTAAAGTCTTGGCTGCTCTAAGATATATGTCAAAGCTTGCTCTGAATGGAGATACAGACCTTATGTCATAGTCACGTTAACACTTGCAGATGAACTTAACATTGCACAACTTTTAAATGCCTGTACAGATAAGCATAGTTCATGTCTTTGTGATTTTGATGAACTATTCACAGAAAGCAGATCAGAATGTTTATTAATTTAATATCTACAACAGGAGGTGTCCGCAGTTGATGTCTCAACAATCGAGTACTCAAATTTTAATGCAAGTAGGATGACCAGATTTATCGTACACGGATTTGTAGATGACGGAGAAGAAAACTGGCTGTCAGACATGTGTAAGGTGTGTAGCACTGGGAAAACCTGTCCCTGGGAACTTCCTTAGTTTGCATTTATAAAAACATTCCTATAAATTTTCTGGTTTTTCTATTTCTAACCAATTTATCTCATGGTACTTGTAGTGATATGAGGAAAAAAGGCCACTTATTTTC